TGAAACGTCAGGCAAATAAAATTCTTGTTCCAGCGATCGTATCCTCCTGTTCTGAACTGCTTCCTGGAACTCGCATATTTTCCACTATTGGCAGTGATTGTCAACCTCTCAGTATAGAAACTTCAAATGAACTCATCGCACTGGAATGAGAGTAGTGAGGGCAGGTATAATTTTTTTTACAGTTGAGTACTTCGACCCTAATGGGCATGAGTGCCCTTGTTTCACGAAATGGCAAAAGTAGCTTATTTACCTTATATACCCCTGGTCCCAGCAAATTGGTCTACGAAAACGGTGGCAATAGGGTTTTTGGGGGGTGCCATGAGTGCTTTTATTTCGCTAAACAGAACACATCACAAAACGTTCTGATGCCATTTCTTCGCCTTTAGCTTGTTCGAATAGAGCATTATTGGAACAACAGTCTCCATAAACTTAGAATGCCCGGTTATAGAAATAAAAATCACCTTAAGTTCATATTCTCTTCCGGGCAAGAGATTCTCCACGCGGTACATGCCGCCGGGCATCTGTGAATTTGCGTTCTCCACCTTTGTGAATCTGACCCCCTCAATCGGAATCTCACTCCTGCCACTCGGTAAAATGTCATAGGATTTAATTTCAAACGTGGCATCCAGTTCAGCTGTGGACGTTTTGGCCTCCCCATCACAAGACACTGCCTGATAGGGCTCCAGGCTTACAATGTGTTCTCGCGGGGTTTCACTTTCGTAGACAGCCGTCAGAAATGATGGACCTAAAAAAGATTTAAGCACAGATTCACATTTATATTTAGGTTAGGATACTAGCTCTGGATAAATTCCTGATGGTCGTACTGTTTTTCTAAAAGGTAACCAAAATCCTTAGCATGTAATATTTTTGGTAGAGTCAAAGATCCAAAGGCCTGCAGAGAATCCCGACACTACCGCTTTTGTTTGGCCCTGTCACAAAACGCTAACATTTATGACTGAAGATTGCAAACTAGCGGGAAAACTTGGCCTTTTTGGTCGGTACTGCCAAGCGTTTAGAAAAGTGTACTCATTTTAAATAAGATTAGGAAATCAAGTGGAAGAAGAGAAAGTTAAGTCAAAATTTTCTTAGACATTGTTTGCGTAAACTCAAAGTTAAGCCTAGGCGAGAGTAATATCAGAATATGATAGAACGTTTAAATTGTCTAGCCACGTATTAGAGAAACTCGGTCCATTGCCCTGTCTTTAATACTGTCCCGATCACATTGTTCTTTTTGGTAACAGCGTTCGGGAAAAACGCTGCGAATTACGCTAAGAATTTAGATTACGCATCAAGTACATGATATTTTTAATTTAATCGATACAGGCTAGTTACGACAATGGTTTGCGCTTTGATGTATTATTAAATTAATTTATTTACTTGATTATTTTAATAAGTTTTCAGTTATCGCACATTCTTTCTTCGACATATTTTAGCTTTTTGTAATAATTTTATCCGGACTCGTAGTGATCGGGTACATTATCATTGGCAGATGAACGCTCATCCAATCGCGTTTCGGGACACACTCGTCCCGCTGCGCCTTTGGAGTTCCGGTAGCAGCCGTTCGCTAGTTTGAGTCCCAGATTTTACAAAAGCTGGTGTTGAATATGGCTCGCTGCTGACGGCTAATATACCGGAAAGGACCATTCCGGTCTCTCTTTTCTTTGCCAATGCAAGCGAACAAATAAGTCCCAGGAAGTAATTAAGAAGATTCGATCGCTGGGACAACAATTTTGTGCGTCTGACATTTCGACATCTGTCGTGGATGCTTCATCAGAGACATGAGCAGAAAGCAGTAACAGAAGCTGGTAACACATGCACAGGAGGTGGCAGTATTTGTAGGACAGAGTCACTACTGCACACGTATGACAAATAACGAAAATTAAGTATAATTGTCCTCCTCTGTGTTGATTGCTTAATTATTGGCATGCGGGCCCTGACTTGCCGAACTTTCATCACGTGTGGTACAATTGGACGTGATTATGGCTCGGCCGTCTGGTTCCCTGGTGTCGGTGAAAGACGACGCAGTGGCCTGTGCGTTCCCCAAGTGGCGACTTGCTTTGGCCGAATTGAGCCCCAGCACTGAATATGGATTGGACAAGTCTTTGCGTTTGTTTATGGACTGGGGGCCCGTGAACCACCACGCGCAATTAAAGTTCAGCAAGTCAGGGTTTGCATGTCGTTAATCAAGCAACCAACACACAAGACGGCAATTAGCGTTACTTGCCGATATTTGTCATACTTATGCAGAAATGAATGTATCCTATAAGTACTGCAACCCCCTGTGTATGTGTTACCCGCTTCCGCTACCGCTTTCTGTTCATGTCTCTGATGAAGCATCCACGACGGATGTCGAAATGTCAGGCGCATAAAACTGATGTCCCAGCGATCGAATTTTCTTCTCTTTTCTTTGTCGATAATGTCCTCCTGTCTATATCCATAGCCGTTGTGTGGCTGTTGTTGGACCTCTGGAGTAAGCTCCACCATACAACTGGAAGAGCATGTCCCTTCTCGCGATCGCTTAGTTGCTCTTCCTCCTTACCGGTTTTCTAGATACAAGATAAAAGCTCTACAAACAAACATACTACTCGTTTTATTTCAGTTGATTTTTTTATTCACACTGAAGATGTACACAGGAATACGTCATACTATATATAGAGTGAACTTTTTGTACGCTGCCATTCCGCAAACGCCTCACCTCCTCAACCATTCATGGTTCCAAACTATTTTTATGCACTTTTGCATAACAAAAGCGATCTGTAACTATTTTTGCATATTTCACTACAATTTATGCAATGCTGTGCCATTCCAATGGAGTTTTTATGGGCTTCGGTTATTTACTCCAAATATACTGACTGATACTGACTATATTTAACAGAGGCATACGTTGACAGAGACAGGGCTTACCCGCTTTTCCGAGATTGAAGGACACAGCTGAACTTTGACCAGAGGACAAGGCGGCGCTGAACCCTACAAACTGGGGGCTTACATCTAGCGTGTAGTTTGATAGGATCTTCTCGATTGTTGACAGTTGTCTGGGTGTCCATATAACAGCTTGACATCGTTCATTTGTGCCTGCATTCGAAACAAACCAACAAAAAATGTTGAAAAAAAACAATAGCGTGCTGCTTCAAGGTACGCCTCTCCAAGGCCTCCCCAAGGGAATTGTGTGTAATTCTACTCGATGCGTGGTATCGTAACTTCTGACGAAGACGGAAAAGAGGGGGAGTATTCTACGAAGTGCCAAGCAGACTTTTTAAACTAGCCTCAAATTATCGAGGAAATCTGCTACAGTTTGACTTCGCCAGTTAGGTAAGGCACTCTGTCAGTTTTACTAGCTTCCCGGGCTAAATGTCCCGAATTTGATACTATGGTATTAGAAACTATCAAGCGTGGTGTATCCAAAAAAGGGACAACCAAGAAACCTATAAACTTAGGAGATCTCTTGCGTTATAGGTTAACAGAGCGAGAGATTTGAAGCGCCGCGGACTATTAAGACCCAGGCTGTGAACCCTACACCCAGTAACTGATTTTCTGAAATGCTATTCAAACTTCAGAAGTGTGTTTTCGATAAGGAAAGATAACTTAAGCAGGATTTTAAGATAGAACCTTGTGCGGCACAATCACAGGATACTTCGGAGACGCCAGGATGCCACCTGCAAATAGACTTTTGATTAGTATGCAATTTTGAAAATATGCTTTCGTGATAGAACCTTACATCTTCTGAAAATTTCTAGTCGATTAAAAGCAATCTTTCGGTTTTAAAAGGCTTCCAATCAGGAGAGTTTGTAAGATCAAACTATATCCATAAAAATTTCGTCCTTTCTGGTCTCTGATTAACAGCCATTAGGAAGTCTAATTTGCAGTCCACATTACTTCAAAAAAATTATGAGTACTCCATGGTACTTTCTTCGTGACAGAGAGGAAGCTATACTATTCTACCGATATAATCCTCCCAAAAGAGGACGAAGATGAACATACGGGCCCGTGGACCGAAGTGTATTGAGACTGCCACTCTCGGTTCGATCATCAGATTTATGTGGTTTTTCGCGTCACCGTGAGTGTTTCAATCTTGACGCCTCCCCGGTATTACATCCGTGCTCGACGCACGAACGTTGACCTGCCTGTTCCCTGCTAATTAGTGTCAACCCCTCCATGATTGAACGCTGGTGAACTCGCGTGACATTTGAGGCCGTTATAATTGTGGGTAAGTTAATGTGCTTAATGGCTTGCCTTTCGTCAGCCAACGGAGCGATCAATTGTTGGTGCGCACGTGGGTTGATGTTAATCCCATGGGCGTGGTGTGAAGATGGTGTTCCACACTGGTCACGTGGTTCCTGTCCGGTTTATCTCTTTTTTCTCTGATCTCAGTTGCCTTCCACGTGTGGGTTTGCTCAGCTGTCTTGTCGGCTTTGCTCGAACTGATTTTAAGCCGTGAACGTAGCGCCTAGTAGGGAGGATGCATGTCTATGTGCAAATTTCCAGCAGCGGCCTGGCCATCTTGTTTTTGGCTCGGCCCACTCCCCTTGCTTTATCAAAAGTGAAATTGTGGTTTCATGGAAAGGCATCCTTTGGGAAAGGATGCCTTTCCATGAAATTACATTTCTTGGGATGCCTGCCTTTCGGTTAATTGTGGTTCTTCAGCTTTCTGTGACCGTAGACCATAGACAGCTTATCCTTGCGGTTGATTGTGAGCCGATGCTCATGCAACCTTGTGTCAGGGCATTTGCCCGTTTCATCAATATACTTTGCATCGCAGTTATTGCATGGTAAGTTGTAGACCACTGCAGATTGTTCTGTCAATAGTAGCGGGTCTTTGGGCTTCATGCTGAGCTTCGGTTCCTAAGTCACGCCAAGCCCGAGTGGTTTTAGGATGCTTGTCGTTGATTCTGATAAGTTCTTCAAAAAAAAGGATTGCGAGCCAGAACTTGGGGTCTTCCTCTTTGGACCGCTCAAGGTGGGGCCTCTTAAGATACTTGCGTATTAATGACTTTGGATATCCGTTGGTTTTCTATGAGGCATGCAAGTATTTGTCTACTTCTTCTCCCCAACGCCTTCATTGCATTGTGTTCGAACGCGTTGGAAGGGGGTCCTGATACGAATGAGTTTGTGACAAACGAGGTTATGGTTTCTGAAATAAGGGATGTACATGGTGTTGGTTGTCGTTCATTAGACAAGTGGGTTTATCTTCCCGTCTGCCATCTTGGTCCCTCATACGTCGAGGAAGCATAACTGATTATTGAACTCTTCTTACATAATTAACTTGATGGCGGGAAAATAGGAATTCAATAGTGCCTTGGTCAGCGCCGTTGTATTCCTAACGGAACAGGCTGTTAATTATGTGGACAGTCAGACCAAGTGAAATGCAGCTGCAAAATTAGATCACTTTAGAGATACCATCACCTCGTCCGCCTTCATTTTCCGGCATAAGATGCAGGTGAAAAACTCTTCAGCAGCCTTCCCTGTCCACCCTGAATCCTAAGAAAGGAAACCCAGCCGCTGGTACACCCATTTTTAAAACCCAAAAGTTGGGGTACCGCATGAGAATACGATGGGCTCTAAGGGCACTCCTGGCCCCTGCATCTTTTGTAGGCGATCGAAATGGCCATCGCTGCATCGATGACCTTAGTAAGCATCGCTAACCTTCTTGTGAGGGCTCTTTTCTTCCTCAACTTGTCTATCCTCTTATTAATGGTGCTTTCGCGTTTTCAAGCCCGCTGGCAAAGCATATAACTATCAGATTGGAAACCTTAAGTGCATTCGGAACTACAGATAGGACTCAAAAGTATTTCAGGGTAAGAAAACGTTTAAAAAACTAAATTTGCCCTTCCTTTGAATATAGCATTTTAAAAAATTTATGTTTGCACTCAACTTAGTATAAAAAGGAATATTTTTGCATACGCTTCCTATAGAATACATTTATATTGATGAAGGACAGCGAAAATCTGTAGAAAAATTTATACCATGTTAGTAGGCATTTTATCGAGAGCACTTGGACAGGTAGTCGAAAACCTGTGCATTTTAACATTCGACTCCCAGTCTGTCCGAAAAACATCAAGATTATGTCGTATGCTAAGTAATATTACAATCGTTACTAGGTAATCGTTCAGAATCAGCACCGTACTTACGAATTTCGTGGAAAATTTCTTGAAATTCTCCCCTGACTATAGGTTTAACAGCATTATGATAGATCTAAATTCAAACCGTCGCAGCTTTGCTGATAAAATGCATCAGAATCAAGAGGGTACCAGCCTATCCAATTACCACGCAGATGTGTTATACACCAAATTTGACTACTTTTAGTAATCCAATTTCTTAGAAGGAGCCTCTGTGCCTTAAATAATTAATTCTTGTTTAAATTAGTCCAAGGCTCGTTAATTTCAATGCTCCTGAATACTGATGAGGTCACAAGCCGTCTGAAAGGGATTGGTGCCTTAGAATTTATTACACTTTAGCCCACTCAATGGAATTAGTCAGCTTTGAAAGTTCAGCTACAAAGCTTTAAATGTCAGTATGTTTTTGCTGTTTCTAAGTGGCCTTTGGAGAGGGAATCAAAGCAGTCCCCACATGCGCAAGCGAAACTTACAGTTATCCCTTGGGCGGACGGAAATTTCGCTCATCTCCGTTGTCCCACAAGCAACACTTGACGAGATGATTTTCACCTTGTATTCCTCTACAGCCAGCTTAAGTTGAGGTCCAACTGTTTGCCACGCCAATTCGCGGGATTTGGAGTTGAACACGGGACTCAACTCTTCTCTCACTGGAAGGAAGGAGGACAAGAAAAAACAAAAAATTTAAAAACTCTGGGGTTAAGCAAATTGAAAAGACTGATGCAAAAAATAAATAAATAATGAACCTACTGATGTGAGTTCAATAAAACAGCCCTATCCAGTCGTGCAAGTCTATGAAACACGTGTAGCAAAGTTTTCGTCACAGGAATAAT